ATTTTCTGTATTCAGCTAACGAGCGTATGATATACGATATCTCTACAGGCCAGTTCTGTTTTTCTATGTAAAGTCTTACCTAATGGAATTTTATAATAAGTATAAAAATTGCAAGTGTGCATCTTGATGCAAATAAATAATATAATGCACTGGAAGATCCTTAGTCTGAGTTGCTTCATGATCAATTGCTAGTAACATAACACATCACTTTTTTGTTACACTAATTTCTATCTCAATCTTTTTTTCTGATCCCATGTTCCATTCATTCATACGCCGAGGTATATGTATTGCCGGACTTGCTCTGAATATTCAACTAATTCGGATTTGGTCTTAGAAATATTATTTGTACCCACAACTTCACTGATTTCTTAAAGTTACTTTGTTCAAAGTATACCTCTGAAATGGCGAGAACACATCGCGCATCGAGGATTATGGATAACCGTACCAATCTAATTTTGTACAGCTTCAAGTCTCTCCAAACCTTCAGAAATTATTACTCTGGAGTACATGTTGAAGATGATAACAATATATAGGTATTCTTGGCGAATAGTATATTTCGTTTGTCATCCTGTTTCACTTTCTGCTGCCGTTTGTTTTTCATACAATAATGCCGAGTGGTCGGCATAAATATTAAGTTAAGGTTGTTTTAGTAAATTTTCGTCAATTCTATAACCTAAGATGCTCACAATAAGCCCTGGTTATTTGATAGAAATGTTTTGTCTTTCTAGATTTCTGTGAACCCAGCGCCGGCTAACCAAAACACTGGAACGTCACCCATAAAAAAATCACAAAAAAAAACAGAATAAAGAGTGTGAATTTGCCAAAGACAAAAGAAACTACTGGTACGGTACTGCTGGTCTGAAAAATATCATACTTTTGAATACAGCGGATTTGTGTTCAAAGAGCAAAACTCATTTTTTAAGGCACTCCATTTTTAAGGTTCTAATAATTAGAGCCAACACAAATCTGTTTGCCATGCCATAACGCCACCAAATACGGGCGCCCTAAGCAATTGCCGAGTCTGCCTACATGGACGATCCGGCTCTGGTGAAACCATTAAAAAAAACTTTTAAATAAAATGCACACAGTCCTATGCCCATAGTGTTCAGTCGAATGCTGAAATAGAAATGTTAGATAGATAGTATTTCAGCACTGTTACTTTATGCCCATAGTGTTCAGTCGAATGCTGAAATAGAAATGTTAGATAGATAGTATTTCAGCACTGTTACTTAAAAATCGGTATCCATGTCTTCTTATGCTAGTAACGCTATATCATTGATACCGTTCTCAATGCAGCCCCCAAGGCAGAACAACGAGCGACACTGCGACATTGTCGCAGACAGCCGAGTAGGTCTGCAGACAGTTCGGCAGTCTTACATAAATAAAAAATTACACTAGTAGAAACAGAATTTTATAATCTGTCGCAGACAGATCAAAACCCTTTTGCTATGGGGAATGCAGCCATTCTGCACATCCGCTCAAACATCAAATAAATTAGAATAATATTTAATGTTGGTTTTAATTAAGAATAAGTAAATTTTAATTACACTAATGTCGGAGCTGTTTTATAATAAAGAGAATTCAAGCCTGCTCCTAAATACTTATTACGCACCTGCGATCAATCTTTCCCAAGAGTTAAATTGTGATACGGTGGCACTGTTTTATTCCAATAAGTACAAAACTAACGAACCTGCTCAACTTGTGAGCAGGATTTTTTTCCAACATCTGTTGGCAATAATCAATGGATTTTAATGTGCATTGGCGAAAACTGACTTGACTTGATCGCTTTCAAATATACGGAATATGCCAAGGGGGTTTATTTTTTTATTAAGTAAGGATGAAAACAAGCAGCCATCTATCTGTATTCATTGACGCATTTCAAATTGCCTGTTTGTTTACTCGACTCGTTGAAGGTACATCCGTGAGCGAACACTAACCTTCACATGACTACATAGTCTTATGACAATGGAAAGTCATCAAAAGGTGTAACAATAAAACTGTCGTGTCATAAATATCTGGACACTTTTTACTTACATACTAAAATAATCAATTCATTTTTGGATAATAACGGAAAAATAATGTTAAAGGATAAGGCGATCGCCCAATTATAGTTCAGGAAATCCGGTATTAAACTAGCTATGAAATAAAACTTTACCAGTCGCCTACGGACACTCTTTAGACTACACAATGTTCTTACTGCGTTTAGGAACGTGCATACATGAGAACAAAAAATATAACCTAATTATTAGATGTAACTGCAAGAAGTTCGGTTATAGCAGACTACTTAAGTGGAGCTACTTAATGCCAATCCGTGATGTCTTGGATAATGGATTAATATAAATCACAAGCGGTTTCAACGGTGAAGTGAAAGTTAGTCGCGCCGTTCCCGAGCGGCGACGTTAGTTAGATATGCGACACTTCTCAGTGGCAGATGAAAACATAGATATTAAGCCCACGGATTTGTCGCTTTCACGATGAAAAAAAAAACGCTTGTAGTAAAAACAAAAACATGAATTAAAGCTAATTAATGTTAATCTACAAACATTGTAGGTTTCGATCAGTAAATAAACTATGAAAATATCTCGCATAGCCACTAGACGGCAAAAAAATATAATCAACACAATATCACAAACAGTGGTTAACCAACAAAAAATGTAACGACTGTCATTCTAATAAACAAACTGTAAGAATCTGCAAATGTGTAGGTGTCACTTTCCCAAGAATCGAAAGAAGAGTAATCTGAAAACTCCATCACAATCGCGAGTATATGAACACTGGCGAGGATAATTAGCATACGTGACGTTAACGAACCGGCTCTACTTCCGGGATCGTTATATGGACCCATGAATGAGAAAAGTTACAATGCTCCGCGGATTATAAGCTCCTGTTAAGAGCTTAGCTAGGAACGAGCGAGATGCCTTATCAATAAGGGTGGCCGCGCTCACCTGGGTGTTGTCAACCGCGAACATAATAACGAGATTAATGTAATAGCGCGTCGCGTGTCATGGCGCGCGCGTGCGAACGCGGTGCGTCGCGGCAAGACTACTGTAGTATAGCGCCGTAGCATGTGGTTATTGCACACCTCCACGCATGGGCCCGCTCGGTGAAGGGGAAGCGGGGCAGCGAGATCCGGGTTGCGCGCCCACTGCACCCGGCGACGCCGCGGCCCCCAAACAAACTGCTGACCTCTGCCACTATAACAAAAATCTCTTCGTGGCTTGCCGCATACGAATATGAGATGGACGAACACTAAAACGAATTTGAATAAACGATACAACCAGAATATAAAACTTATAATTATACTTGTAATAATGGTAAAGGGCAATTTTTATGGTATTGCGATTTCCAAGAACATTTAGCTTTTCTATTATGATAAATGGGTATTGTAGTAGCTACCTATGTTGTATCAGGTTTCATAATACTTTCATAGATTAAGCTTTACATAGAATTTGATAGAAAGATGTCTAATCTTTATTTAATATTAGGGGTTGAAATTTACTGAAACACTAAGCAGTTTTTTATTAGTAGCCTAAGAAGAAACCTACCATGAGGGGTAGGCTAAATTGTGAAAAATCTTTCTTGTTTCTCATCTGCATTAAAGTAAAGGAACCATGGTGCAAAATTTCAAGTTTCTAATACTAGTAGTTGGTGTGGATATGTTAGTCAGTCAATCATTAAAGTTAGTTGTCAAGTTTTATCAAGAACTTTTAGTTACACCCTGGCACACACAACAAAAAATAATTTTCACTATCCATTTGAGTAAATTTTAAATAGATAATATACACCGTGAATCTTATATGTTACTTATGACTACTGATAATGTAACAACCACGGAAGTTCATATCAAAATAAAAAAACAAGATGGAACAGTCATCAAAAATAACTTACATTTGCCACAACCAACCTAATAATAAACCATATTTTTTGGAATATATTTGTGGGAATATATGAAAATTTATTAACATCAAAATATGTAATTTGTACTTTGATACATCTATCCAGTAATTTGTAAATTTTAATTCAATGGATCTGACTAAGACATGAAAATAGAACATAATCATACTTTCTATACATAAAATACAATTTCTGAGGTCCCAGGTTTTATCAGTCAGATTGGTTCACTTAGAATTTTTATTTTTATCAGGTCTGGGTGGTACAGTATCTTTGTTGATTAAGATTTCTTTAATTACAACAGCATTAAAATATTTTATAATGAAATTAATATATTGAACATCTGTGTTGTACTGAAACCTGAAAATGTCTCACGGGCCGGCTATTGCCCCCCTTACAGCCGGCTGTTGATTTTATAAAATAAATCCTCATGAGATATTGCTGAACTGCCTTTGCATAAGGTTTGAGCTTCTATAACAGGTACTCTTATAAGAAATCAACAAAATTAAAGATTTTTAAAAGAATTAGGAGCATAGGATTAATATTCTGTAGTTATCTGTACTTAACGAGTCACTTGCTTTTATTTTTAGATTTTGTATTTGTTGTCATTCCTTTGTTTGGTTTTCATATGCGTTTGTTTATTTGTTATTAACAATATTAACATGTTTAAAGTTGATTCCATAATATATTTTTATGTTACTTCTGTTAGAGCTTCAACTTATCAGCTAAAGAGATCCTGTATATGTGGTTTGTAAAAAAATGTCATATAATTCACTTGAATTTATTTCTTGATTATAGATATGTCTTTAAACAAAACAATTCTACTTGTTATTAATATTTTTAAGTACTTATATGAGCCAAATAGTTTTGTTTAACCTAATGGGCTATTGATTGTGTATATAGACGTTGTAGACATCTATATAGAAATTTGCAATTATAATGATGTGCAAAATATACGTAATATATAATGATGTGATGTGCAATATATAATAACTGTTCTCATTATTAACAAAGCGCTATACTAAAATACAAACGAAATCTACTCTTTTTAATTTTCTTATCTCAGGAAAGAATATACAAAGTAAATTAATATCGATACACAAACTTACCTGTATCCTCCCAATCAGCTCGCGGGGGTTAAAGCTTCCATCAGCAGGATTCAAGTTGAAAATAACATTAAAATACACATTCTCTGTTTTCTCTTTGTGAGGAGTAGATTTATTCTCAGTTAGAGTAACATAATAAAAAGTTTCAACCAAATTCAAGTATTTATTGTAAAATTCCGTTATACAAGAACGTGGCACTGATATTAATAGATCTGTATCGTGAGACATTGTTATTTAAATGTTGCAATAACAAATTAGATATAGATAACGCAATTAAATTGCATAATACCTATCAAAACATAACTTCACCCTACTATTTCGACCAATTCCGACACTGACTGATTCAAAGACTACTTTCTTAGGCTAAATAAAATTTAAAGTATTTCTCTATGAATGAACTAGAGATGTAAATCGGTATTACTAATATATTTAAAAAAAAAATTGATAACAAGGCTGTCACGTCATACAACTTCATTGAAATAAAAAAAAATATTTTAGGTGTACCAGAATCTAATAGCACAAAATAAAAACAAACAATATCGATTTTTATATGGAAATATAAATTGTCAACTGTTCAAAACTACGAAATCAAAGTGTAATTTTGTTGTCAATATTTGTGAAAATATATATATTTTTTGTAATTATGAACAAAAAAGACATGGATATCTGAGCGAAAAATATCGTTTTTAATGTTTATAGCACAATTTGTGAAAAAAGTTGAAGTTCAAAGAAAAAATAAATTACTACTTTCTTGATTTCTCTATGACAACTCTTCCGGTTTTCTTTCATGTATAAAAGAAAATTAATTTTTAAAACTCAATAAACAACTCAAATTCTATTTGTACTTTCTCGTTTTTGTATTGATATCTAAGTTTCGAACTAAGCAAATTTCAGTTTTTTTAATATGTTAGTTAAAAGGAACGGAAATTACCATCTTTAGCCTTCCCTTCCTGCAAAAATCATTTAAACACTTCCTCATTGTAAGATATTTCCATAGAGTTAAGGGTATTTTCATAGAGATAAAAGATATTTCATGACGTCAAAGATAATAGAATTGTCAGTGTTGTTATGGACTTGATAACTCGGATAAACATCGAATTGAAATTCAATTAATTCGAAACGCAACTCGATTAATAATAATTGATTTTATTAAATAGGATGAATGAAGCCTTGAATATATATTTTTTTATTTGTACAAAGGAAAATATAAACTAACTTAATGTAGGTGAGCATAAAGAAGGTTTTGAAAGGTTTGGAAATGTATAGAATATTGTTGTGTAGCATTTTTATACAGTATAAAATTATTTCCGCGACATAGTATTATTTAAATTAAAATACATTATGGCATAGGTCTATGCATTTTTCATTATAATCATCTGAAAAGTTCTGAAAAATATAACAAATAGGTAAGTTAGTTTTATTGCTTTAATTGTTAATTGGGCTAACAGTCCGACGAAGGCGACGTGTTTGGTATTAAAGGTAGGCAGATTGGGATGGCTTTAGGGAGTATTTTTAATCCTTTCCTTGGCGTCAGCGATGCTTTGATGAGAGGGATCATCGGCAAGTGCTTCTGCGGTTGCGTATGAGATCTTATTGGGTATGGAGTATTATATTCCAACATCGGATGTCGTCGTCAACCGCGGGGTCGCCCTTGGTTCAACCGGGAATGCAATGAAGCTGTCGCTAATAGCCAGGCGTCTTACTGTGCTTGGATCAGGGGTTACGCAGGGAAAGATCCCCATCTTAGATTCCTTAAGGCTACATAAAAATGTAAGAAAGCCTTCTCGAGAGCTCATGCCCAACGAATATTACGCCTGGGTCAAGAACTGGCAGCTCATCCCCGCGGGAGTAGAGCCTTCTGGGGCCTGACAAAAGCTGTGCAGTCGAACTTCTGTCGCTCATCCCTGCCACCGCTACGATACCCTGACGAATCACTGGCCCATGATGCGCAGAATAAGGCAGATTTACTGGCTAATATCTTTGCGACCAACTCTTGAGTTGATAATGGTAATGCAGAGCCACCTACCTTAACCCCGTGCGGCGTCACGATACCGGATATAAAAATCAGACAGTGCGATGTACGTAGGTTGTTGCTTGGACTCGATGCTCGGAAAGCCATTGGTCCTGATGGTATTCCAGCGATTGTAGTGAAACAGTGTGCTGCTGAGTTGAAACATTATTCATCAGGCTATGTCCCACATCCTTGGAGGTAAGCTAATGTGCAACCGGTTTTCAAAAAAGGTGATCGGTCAGATCCCGCGAATTACCGTCTTATCGCTATAACTTCAGTACTTAGCAAAGTTTTGAATAGAATAGTATAGATATTTATTTACCTTTAAATAGGAGCGGCTTATTAATATTAAGATAGTTCGCTACTTGGAAGATCACTCTATAATTCACGATCGGCATCTTGCGTACATGTTACATTGCTGGGGTGACGATAGACGCCCATGTTGAAACATTGGCTGTCAGTTTGGACATTGCTAAAGCGTTTGATAGGGTCTAGCATAGAGGCCTCCTCGCTAAACTTCCTTCTTACGGACTCCCTAGCCAACTCTGTACTTAGATGGCTGAGCGAAGAATTCGTGTCCTGGTGGATAGTAATTCTTCGCTTTTTCTTTCGCTTCGCTTCGATAGCGCTTCGCAATTTAAAGTAGTGAATGCCGGGGTTCCGGCACAAGGTTCGGTGTTTTCACCCACATTGTTCCTTCTGCATATCAATGACATGTTACCTTTTGGCTTCATTCATTGCTGTGTAGACGATAGCACAGTGCATGGCACCTACACGGACAAGCCGTCGAGTGGCTTGGGACCAACGACGAGGAATCGTGAGAATCTTGTCGTGGAATTCAATCGGTGTTTGGACTGCATTTCCAAATGGGGTTCAGATAACTTGGTTGAGTTCAACGCCAAGAAAACATAGGAATGCGCTCTGTCATCTAAGACCTGCCCTTTCTCCCCTCTTCGCATTCTTCGGGGTGCTAATCGCACGACAAAAGATCTGGGCATGGATATTCGCAGCGACCTCAACCTAAAGGACCACATCGAAAGCGTTATAGGTGCTGCCTCTCGTAGGTTCGGAATTTTAAACAGAGTGCGCCGGTTTTTTACACCTGAGCAACGGTGCTTGCTATATAAAATCCAGGTCAGGTCTAGCATGAAGTATTGTTCGCATCTTTAGGATGACTCCACAAAATATCTGTTCGATGTCCTAGACAGGCTGCAGCGGCGAGCAGTACGCATCATAAACGATGAGGTGCTAACGAACAATCTTGAGCCACTGCAAATGAGGCGTGATATTGCCTCACTCGGTGTGTTCTATCGGTTCTATCATGATCATTCCCCCCTCCTCCTTCCGTAACAGGTTGACACGTGCTGGTGTTCGCTGCCATTCCCAGACTGTTTGTACTATACCATCTCGTACAAAAAAACATTAAAATGTGAAACAGTCTCCGATCCCACGTATTTCCAATTAAATATAACCTTGGGTGCTTCAAAAGAGGTGTGAAAAGGCTCTTTAATAGGCCGGCAAGAAAGTGGTGGCTACCAGGAGTAGTTTCAACTTTTGACAGCTGCGACTATTATTAGACTGTAATATCACTTTCCATCAGGTATATTACAGTCACTTTGTCGTGCAACAATAAAAAAAAAGTTAAATAATTTAGGCACCCATCCAACTCGCAGATCAAACGCGCTAACCACCCGACATTCCTCATTAGGCATATGTGGAGGTCCCAATGCGGATTGGTGGTGCTAAAATATAGGTATTCTTAATGTGTGAAATCAGTCTATCAAGTAATTCGTACTAGGGCAAAGTGGTCATCCTAAATAGTTCCAAAAAAAAAATTTGACCACCCATCCTATTACCGGCCTTTGCGATTGTCGCTTAACCTTCGCAATCGCAGATCAAACACGCTAATCACTACATCGTTGAGCTTTTCACTTATTTATATAGCAGTGTTATTGCCAATTTTGAAGATGAAAATGATGAAGTATTAAAAAAAAAGAAAGCACTAAAAAGCACCTCAACTATGTGGCTTGATTTTTGCAGGAAACGACTGAACCAAAGATAGTCATTTCCATTCCTTTTAACTAAACATATTAAAAAAACTGAAATTTGCAAAGTGAGAAACATAGATATTACAAATACGAAAAAGTGCAAATAGAATATGAGTTGTTTATTGAGTTTTGAAAACTAATTTACTTTTATACATGAAAGAACACCGGAAGGGTTGTCATGGAGAAATCATGAAAGTACCGTAGCAACATCTAGTTTGATTTCGGGAACTAATGTTTTTGTATATACTTCATTAAAAAGCTTCACTTCATTAAAATGTTATTGTCGCCCTATTAGAAAGGGACAAATTGCCTCTATAATTGCAGTCTACAATAGTATTGGATAGATTTTTTGATGTGCATCGAGTTTTGCAAGCTTAAGTTTTTGAAAAACCAAATTTATAGTACTTATTTTTTCGGAAAAAAAAATAACACAATTTTCAAACATTTTTTATTTTCCAAATGCATTTAATAAATTGGTTAGAAATTTGTCAATATACTAAATTAGGCGTCCTAAACTTAAAAATAAACTTGGGCGGTCACTTAATATTTCTTTAATATGTAATTATGTAGTAAATAATTGCAGTTCTTTGTGTTGAAGCAAAAATAATTTAAATTCTAAACTACTAATATATTAGGAGAAGTAAATGTGCTACCAGTTTTTACGCTCTCGAATGATGGAAATATATTATAAGAGGTAATAATTCACAATTCAGTTCTATAATTAGCAAGAACACGATAATATTTTTTGAAACATAATTAAGAATCATCATACAAAACATTATTAGGTTTTAAAATAAAAATTCAGATTTCCGATTGAAATATTTCGTGTGGCCACAAGTGATCGCATATGTTTTTTTTAAAGATAAAGACGCCTTATTCTCTCTCTCGTATGTACATTATAAATTTATAACAAATTCATCCAATTAACAAGGAAAAATAAAACATAAATCTAATTTATGGACCTAATTTATGGAAGCAGGCATTTGTTACACCTGTCTTAAAAAAGGGGGCTAGGACTGAAGTTATTAATTATAGGCCTATCTCTAAGTTGTGTGTGGTGGCAAAGGTATTAGAAAAAATTGTTTACTCTCAATTATTTAACGCCATAAAAGATTCTCTAGCAAATTACCAGCATGGGTTTATGAGTCATAGGTCTACAGTTTCTAATCTTATATTACTTAACGACTATATATCAAAATCTATGGATGACGGATCTCAAGTAGACGTCATCTATACTGACTATTCAAAAGCATTCGATAGGAT